CGAAGCAGCTGGTAGTTTCGAACTGCTGACCTTGCTGTTCGCAGCCCGATTCGTAACCACTACGCTACCAGAGCTCCTTATATAGTTATAGTAGCCATAAACTGTAAGTTATTTCTTGAATGCCTGCTCTGCGCTTGATTTATAGTTTAGGGACTTTATTGTTTCCACCAGGTGTTGTCTCCTCGGTTCCGACTCACAGTGACTCCGCCTACAACAGAGTGAAGCACTGTGGGTCTTGCACAATCCTCACAATGGCTGTGTTTGAGCCCACTGTTGCTGCCACTCTGGCAATCCATCTCATTGAGGGTCTTCCTCTATTTCCCGGACCCTCTAGGGTCTTTCTTTGTTTTGTCATTCCATCCCCAAAGCAACAACCCCGCAGGGTGAGTATTATTATCACTGTTTTACATAGAAAGAGCCTGAGCATCAGAGAGTCCCCAAAATAACTTAGCTAACAAGTGGCTGAGTTGACAAACCAAATTCTTGTGCTCCAGGGGAGGAACGACATACTTTTTGTCTCAGGGGAAGAAAAAAAATGCCAACACCATTTCTTGTCAGTTAAATACCCCCTTTCTCTTCCTCTCTTCTACTACTCTTCCTTTTCCCTTTCTTCTTTCGTTGCATTTTAACTTGTGAGATGGGCCCTAATTCAGGTACCATAGTGAAACTCTGCTCTTGGCAGACATTTAACATGTAAACTTTTCTCCACCCCCAGAATGCCGCTGCTGTCATCCTTTGATCCTAGAATAGTTGGTGAGCAAGACTCTCTTCAAGTCTTTTGTTGCACGCAGCTCACTCAACTACTAAAGTACTTAGCAAAATCCCAAATCTGTCTCCTCTCTGAGTGGATGCTGCCACCCGCCTCCCATGCAGAGATGGAACACATTTCCAGTGAAATTCGGTGTAATCTATGAGGGGGCATCCAAAAGTGCACGAAAAAAACGTCATGATCTTTTTGTTTCATTTTCTACATACTTTTTGAAGCTTCCTCATATGTTTTTATTGTGTACCTGATTACAAAAGTAATAAATGTTGTTTCCAAATTAGAAATCATTCAAAAAATCAAACCCGTCCTTCCATTCTCCAACAGTTTTAAAAGAAATTCTGACTTGTGGATTCTTCTTTAAAAGTTTTTTTTTTTTTTTTTCTCCCTGTCTGCATATGTGGCTTTAGTGGTTGATGCACAAATTTGAATAATAGAGATATTAACTGCTCTTCCTTGTGGTTAAGTGCTATCTCGTTTGTACCCACTCAGACTCATAGGGACCTTGTGTAGGGTTTCCAAGGAGCAGCTTGTGGTTTGAACTGTTGACCGTGTGGTTCACAGTCCAGTGCTGATCCTACAGCCCCACACCAGGCATCTTCCTTATAAATGTATGAATCGTGTCCTACCACAGACAGCTTTGTACTTCCCGACAGATCTTGAAATGCTATTTATGATGATGAATGGCCCCTGTTTACCTGCTTGATCCTCATGCTCTCGGTACTGGTTCCCTTCTTGTTGCCTTTTGTTGTTAGGTGCCGTTGGGAGTAGGTTCCGACTCATAGTGATGACCCTCTTATGCACAACAGAACAGAACACCAGCCCATCCGGCGCCATCCTCACAATCTCGCTGTTACGCTTGAGCGTTTACGCTGCCGTTATTGTTGTACTGACAAAACAGCACGTGCTCTGTAGAAACCTCATGAAGAGTTAACATGGTGTGGCACTGTAGGATCAGCACTGGACTGCTAACCACAAGGTTAGGCGTTCAAACCCACCAGTTGCTCCTCGGAAATCCCATATAGGGTTGCTGTTAGTCAGAACTAACTCTATAGTACCACCACCACCAACAGTGTACCTTTTCAGACCTCTTTCTATGCTTACATATTATATATATATACATATAGAGAGCCCTGGTGGGGCCCTATAGGATAAACATTGAACCACGGTCGATTTGAACCACAAGATCAGAGGTTCAAACTCACCAGCTGCTCCTCAAAAAACTCTATACAGGGTCGCTGTGAGCCAGAACCAACTCAGTGGCACTTACCAACAACAACAAAGGAGCTAAGGGACCGCAGAGAGTAGGGATAAAGAAATCCAATTCTGGAATAAACATCGTCAGTTTAAATCTGGGTTCTAATGCTAGCTGTGAAACCTTGGAGAAGGGTCACTGGGTGATGCAAAAGGTTAGCATACTCCACTGCTAACCCAAAGGTTGGAAGTTCGAGGCCATCTAGCAGCACCTTGAAAGAAAGGCCTAGTGATCTGCTTCCAAATGATCAGCCATGGAGTTACCCAATGGGCACAGTTCCACTGTGACCCCCACGTGGTTACCAAGAGTTGGAGCCCATTCGATGGCAACTGGTATGGTGTGGTAACTTTGGGGAAGTGATCAAACTCTGCAGCTCAGTTTTCCGCATCTGTGAAATGGGAATAATGACAATGCTTGCCTCACTGAAAAGGAGATAATGTGTACAAAGCTCCTGATGTAGAGTAAGCACTCAGTAAATACTGGTGGTGGTGGTGGTGATGTGCCGTGGAGACAGTTCCAACCCATTGAGACCCTGTATAGTGTTTCCAAGGCTGTAAACCTTTACGGAAGCAGAAAGCTTCATTTTTCTCCTGCAGAGCGGCTGCTAGATTCGAACTGCTGACCTTGCAGTTAGCAGCCTAACTTGTAATCCATTACGCTACCAGAGCTCCTTCAGTAAATATGAGTACTTGTTATTCATGTTTTTGTGCAGAAATGGAGTCATACTTGTAATTCTGTATCATGAACATTTATCTATGTCAATAAACACAGTATCCTTCTTACAGTTGTGTAATATGCTAAAAACCTGGGGTGGCGCCGTAGGACCACAAGGCTGGTTTGAACCCCAAGGTCAGCATTCAAACCCACCAGCCGCTCCTTGGAAACACTATACAGGGTCGCTGTGGGTCAGAACCGACTCCACGGCACTTCACAATAATAGTATGCTAGAGAAGGACATCGTGCTTGGTTAAATGGAGGGTCAGCAAAAAGGGGATGACCCCCAATGTGATGGATTGACACAAGGGCAGCTGCGCTGGGGTCTAGGGTAACAATTGTGAGGTTGGCGCAGGACGGGGCCTAGTTTGCATAAGATCACTGTCCAGTCAGAGGCGACAGCACGTAACAGCACATGACAACAACAATCCTCTATGAAGCCTGGTGGAGCTGTGGTTAAGCATTCAGCTGCTAACCAACAGGTGGGTGGTTGGAACCCACCAGCCGCTCCTCAGAAGAAAGACGTGGCATTCTGCTTCTGTGACCCTCACAGCCGTGGAGACTCAAGGTCAGTTCTACTCTGCCCTGTCGATGGCTGTGAGTCAGAATCAACTCGACGATACACAACCGCGCACTTTGTTTAGTTCTTGGACTTACAGAAACGACTGTATGTGGCTCAGGGCCATTTGTTTAACTGTCCCTCAGGAGGTAATGTCCATTCTAATGTCAAGATTAGAGAAATTGAAGGAATTCATTACCGTAGAGTTTCTATCTGAATGAGAATTTGGCATTCTTTTATGACATATGTAAGTATCATTCTACTCCCAGAAAATTGTTAAAAATTCTGAGGCACTTTCAACTGGTTAGGTTCCTGGATGTAGAAACTTGTTAAGTGTCTTTTCTAAGATATGACCCTTTAGTATCTAAGTACACTTTTTCTACCTTGATAAGTGAATAAAACCAAACCGCTACCAGTGAGTTGGTTCCGACTCCCAGTGACTCTCTATGGAGTTTCCGAGGCTGTAAATCTTTACGGGAGCAGAAAGCTTCATCTTTTTCCCTTAGAGCAGCTGGTGAGTTTGAACCTCGACCATGTGATTAGCAGTCCAGTGCTTATCCTACAGCGCTGTAGCAGGACTAGGCGCCTGGATATTTCACTGACTTTACATTCTGTACCTTCAGGCCTTCACTGGGTCACAAGAGTGTGGTCATTTGACACATGGTTTAGTCAGTTCTGACCCCTCACAACCCTATATAATGATTGTTCATTTTTATTGTTATTGTTAAGTGCCATCAAGTTGGTTCTGACTCAGTGCAACCCTATATAGAGTTTCTGAGGAGCGGTTGGTGGGTTTGAACCTCCCAGCATTCCAGTGTTTGCTGATCCTCTAGGGTTTTCAAGACTGTAAAGCTTCATGGGAGAAGGCAGCCTTATCATTCTCCCAAGGACTGACTGGTGGGTCTGAACCGCTGATGGTGCATTTAGCAGTCCAGTGCTTATCCTACAGTGCTACACCAGGACTCCATGGAGAGTTTATTTTTGTTGTTGTTGTTAAGTGCCATTGAATCGGTTCTGACTCAGTGACCCTGTACAGGGTTTCCAAGGAGTGGCTGTTGGGTTTGAACCACCAAACTTGTGATTAGCAGTCCTGGTGTGTCACTGTGGGTTAATGTGCTGGACTGCAAAATCTATTTGAACCACAAGGTTGGTGGTTCAAGCTCATCAACTGCTCCTAGGAAACCCTACACAGGACCTCTATGGGTCAGAACCAATTCAACGGCACGTAACAACAACTTATTGTAGAGTTTCCTTCTCCATGTTTATCAGGACTAACTATGGCTTTCTCTGGTGAATCTCCGCAGGAATGTGGCTTTGGCTATGGTGAGGAGGCACAGTGCGTGGCATGCCGGCCTCACAGGTTCAAAGAGGCCTGGGGCTTCCAGAAGTGTAAGCCGTGTCTCGACTGTGCCCTGGTGAACCGCTTTCAGAAGGTCAACTGCAGCTCCACCAGTGACGCCGTCTGTGGGGACTGCCTCCCAGGGTAAGTAGGGGCCCCATCTCTGTGTCCTCCTCCTTCCGTTATTGTTAATTGCCATCGAGTCAGTTCCAGCTCATTGCGATGGTTTTGAATTCATTCCTCTCGTTCCCTTCCAAATTGTAACACTGACTGATAGGAACCCTAAGCTGTCTGTCAAGTGGCTCTGTCTTTGTCTCTCAGTACACATTCAGCAGATTCTCTGCATCTCGAATACGCTTTGCCAGGAATGAAAAAGTACTGGGATATTTTCACAAACTTTTTGAAGCCCTCCTCGTAACAGCAGAACAAAATGTTCCCTGTTCCTGTGCTATCCCATGATCAGTTGCAGATCAGGATGTTTCGATCCATAGGGTTTCCTCTGGCTGATTTTCAGAAGGAGCTCACCAGGACTTTCTTCCTCATCTATCATAGTCTGACAGTTCTGCTGGAATCAGTCCAGCATCATGATGACACACAAGTGCACAAGTCAGGACTCAAACCCTGACTGTGGAAATTCTGCCAAGGAATTACCATTGCTCCAGCATGGAATGTGAGCCTTTAGTGTGCCTCAAACTAATAAAAAATAAAAATATGGATGAGGGACAAGAGAATGAAGAGGCACCTCACACAAGAAGAAACACACGTGACCAGTAATCACATGAAGACTTTCATTCTGTTTCGTGACCAGAGAAAAGCACAAACGTGGCCATTAAACTATTTCAACGGGTAGAAGTATTTCCTGGCAGCTACTAGGCATGGTTTTAGGTCCATGGGATGTGTCAGAATAAAAGGGAAAATGATCCTTGACCCCACGCAGTTTATATATATATTTTTAAAAACCCTAAACAGGAAATACTAAGTAAGTAAATCATGTGGAGTGGTAGCAAATGACACAGGCTACAGAGAAAGGGTCCAGAGCAGATACAGGGGTGTGGGGCTGGCAGTATGAAATCTTTATTGTAAAGATCTGAACCCCAGCAGGAAGAAGGCAAGGGAATGGACATTGTGTAAGGTGAAGATCTTCGGTGCATGCGTGGAAAAGGTCCATCCGCAGACCCTGGTGAGAAGCATGGTAACCATAACGGTGGAGAAGTGATGCCCAGCGGGAAGGAGAGTCTGTATGAAGAACTGGGCTCAGGTGAGCCAGGGCTGTTAGGGAGTGACAGGGCAGAGCTGATAAGGTCCAAAGAGAAAAATTAGAGCATTGTGTGGAACACAGACTGGAGGCAATACACAGACCAGAGACATCAGCGAGAACCCCAAATCCCCAAAGCAGGAAACAGACTTAGGTGCAAAAGTAAGACACAATCAGAATCAACAACAGTATTGTTGTTGTTGTGTGCGGTGGAGTCGGTTCCGACCCACAGCGACCCTGAACAGGGTTTCCGAGGCTGTAAATCTTTACGGGAGCAGAAAGCCTCATCTTTCTCCCGCGGAGCAGCTGGTAGTTTCCAACTGCTGACCTTGTGGATCACAGTCCGATTTGTAACCACTACGCTACCAGAGCTCCTTACAACAGTATTATAGGAGCGGAAGATATTTCTTAGACATGGATACTTGTAAAAGTGGTATGAAGGCCATAGCTTCACAAGAAGGAAGGAAAATCAAACTCAAGAATCAGCCTAAGAACGATTTCCTGAGAAGCAGAGGTCAGACATGCCTCCACCCTCCGACCATCTTTATGTTTGTCTGACACCAAGGAGCCCTCCAGCACATACTCTGCTTCACATCTGGGTTTGATTGATAATCCATTGCATGGTCTCACAGAACTCACAGACGATACTCATGACTATGTGGTTTATTATGGAAGTGAACAGGGTATAGTTCAGGATCAGAGACAACTCAGGGGGCCTCAGTCCCCCAGTCAGGGACGCCACTTCTCTGCCCTACTGAACACGCACCTGGCTCGTGTCTTTGGACTCTCAGTGAGCTTTATGAAGCCTGAGCACATGTTTGTGAAGGCTCGTAGGATGACTGAATAACAAACACAGTGAAACCTAATCTAAACTATATTGTTGTTAAGTGTCATCGAGTCAGTTCCGACCCATAGCGACCCTGGTTAGGGTGAGCTTGAACTGCCAACCTTGCGGTTCAAACTGACTTTGCAGTCCAGAGCATTAACCCACAGAGCCACACCAGGACTGTATACTCTCATATACGCTCTGCCAGGCACCGGTTATAACACAGTGAAGGCTAATGGAAACTACGAATCTTTGTGAATAAGAATGTATCAATATTGTCCATCGAGTGAAATAAATGGAGTCCTGGTGTGGCGCTGTAGGATAAGCACTAGACCACAAGGTCAGTTTGAACTGCAAGGTCGGCAGTTCAAATTCACAAGCCGCTCCTCTGCAACATATCCAGGGTCACTATGAGTCAAAACGGACTCACAGCACTTAACAACAATATTGGATCAAATGCACCAAACAAGGGTAACAATGGGAGGAAGAGTGCTCGGGCCAGAAGGCAGAAGTGAACAGCCATCCCACAGAATGGGAGACAAATATCTTCACATCGTAACTCTGATCAAGGACTTGTATCTAGAATGTGCAACAAACTCGTACAAACCAGTAATAATTAGACAACCCAGTTTAAAAATGGGCAAGATCATTGAATAAACATTCTTGCCAAGGAGAGTTACATATGGCAGGTAAGTGCAAAGCAACTCATTACAGAAAGACAGACCCAAACCAAGAGAAGAGACCACTTTCTGCACACTGAAAACCCAACCAAAGCCCCTGCTGTCGGGACAATTCTACCTCAGAGGGACCGTGTAGGGCAAAGTGGAGCTGTTCCATAGGGTTTCTGCGGTTCTCCGTCTTCTATGTTGTGGCGCTGTAGAATAAACACTGGACTGCTAGCTAAAAAGTCAGGCATTCAAACCTACCAGCTGCTCCTTGGAAACTCTCAGCAGAGGTGGAGAACCTTTTTTGCTTTCAGTGGGCCATTTGGATAATTATAATATCATTCACAAGCCATACAAAATTACCCACTTAAAAGTTAGCGGTCCATGTTTGGTAAAACATTCCATAACTCACCTCTATTGTTATGCTGGAACTGCAGTTGCCTTAGCAGGGCCAGATCAAATGATTCTGTGGGCTTTAGATGGCCTGAGGGCCGACGTTCCCCACCCCCGCCGCTGTATATACAAGTCACTGTGCGTCAAACTGGACTCCACAGCACTTAACAACAAATCTGCTACAAAAGCAGACCTCTTTCATCCACTCAAACCAAAGCAAACAGTGGCATCAGGTCAATTCTGCCTCACGGTACCCCCCCATACTGGGTCTCTGAGACTGAATCTTTAGGAGAGCCGGCAGCTTTATCTTTCTCCCGCCGAGAGGCTGGTGGATTTAAACCACCAACCCTGCAGTTAACAGCTCAATGACTAACACACAGAACTACCTATGTAAAAGATGGACAAGTTTTCCTGAGGATACGGAGAAATCGGAACTGTCATACACCGAGGAAAACTGTCTAACCACACCTCCGAATGTTACAGAGTTACCTCATGAGCGAGCAGTTCCACACCTGGCTAAATCCTCCACAGAAATGCAAACCTATGTCTAAACATAGACTTGTATGCGTGGGAAAAGTAAAATGAAAAGATAATGGAATTTTTTTCCATGGACATTTGAATCCCCCTCAGATGCAAAAGCTCTTACCAGCATCATTCATAATAGTCACAAAGCCCACCCACTGATGATTAATTAAGCCGAGTGTGGTCCATCCATACAATGGAATAGCGTTTGGGCATAAAACAGAAATGAAGTTCGATACAAGCTACAACATGAACCAACCTGGAAAAGATGATGTTGAGTGAAAGAAGCCAATTACAAAAGGGCAAACGTGGTATGATCTCAGAAAGATGAAATGCCCGGAATACTCAGATCTGTAGAGACAGAACCTGGGGTGGCGCTGTGGGTTAATGCGCCAGACCGCAAAGCCGTTTAAACTGCAAAGGTTGGTGGTTCAAACGCACCAGAGGCGCCTCGGAAACCCTAGTCAGGGTCGCTGTGGGTCGGAACTGACTCGACAGCACTTCACAACCACAACATAGAGACAGAAAGTAGGTTTGTTGTTGTCTGGAGGGAGTGGTGACAAGAAGCTGGGAAGGAGAGTGGAGAGGGGTGTGTGTGTGTGTGTGTGTGTGTGTGTGTGCTGACTGCTAATAGGTTCAGGGTTTCTTTTTTTTTTTTTTTAAGTTTTTATGGTGAATTGAGTGATAGTTTACATAGGAGAACGTTGGTTTTACACTCCTTGTTTCATTGCAATGATTACAATTTCCTCTGTGCATCATCATTCAACAGTATTCGCTTCTATTCCTTCTGTTGTGGTGGTTTTTGGTCTTTTTTGGGTCGGGGGAGGATGTACACAAAAACACTCAGGAATATATAATCATTTAAACAACCAAAAGGCACATTCGGTAAGCCTGCCTCCTGGCTGCCAGCACACAGCCTTTCTCTTTCCATCACTCTAGAGTCCTCAGCTGCTCCCTCTCTCCATGTCCCCATCTCTGCGTCCGTCTCTGGTGTCACTGCTTCTCTGGATAGGGTCCCGCATTCCACTCATACTCTTCTCACTTGATGGTCCTAGGACCGTCTTTTCCTGGACTGTAAGATTAACTACTCGCCCCTTTTTGTTAACAAAACTTCTACTTTTCTAGTTGTGACAGATGCAATTAGTCATGATAACAATTACCCACTAATGAATCGTAAGAATCTTATCCCCATCTCTTTTCATCAGACCCATCTAGACAAGATGAAACTATTCAATGGGGACTCTACTGTCCCCTGCACACTCTGAAACTAAACTCCCCCTTGAAAACTTGTAAGCCAGTCACTTTGTGTCTTTATTTCCCCCTCATTTTAGGTAGCCAATGTTTAAGTGGTTCAGGGTTTCTTTTATGGGTGATGAAAATGTTCTAAAATTGGTCTTGGCAATGGTATACCAAAAAGCCATAGAAGTGTACCCTAAATGAATAAATTGTGTGATATGTCAATTATATTTCAAATGTGATTTTTTTAAAAGCTCCTTGTCTAGCATCTCAGACTTGTGCTGATGTCTCTGAACACCATCACCTAGAGTTTCCGAGTTTTGATCTTCCGTGAAAATTATTATCACTTTGGGGACTAGAGTGCATCTGCCCAAAGCCATGGTGTTTTCTGTCATACCTCATATATTTGTGCGAGCTGGATAATGAGTTAGGAAGACCAGAGAAGAATTGAATTATGGTGTTGGTGAAAAATAATGAATATACCATGAACTTCCCGAAGAACAAGCAGGTCTGTCTTGGAAGAGGCACAGCCAGAATGGTCCTCAGAACTGTTGATGACAAGACTTTGGAATCACATTATCAGGAGGGACCAGTTCATGGAGAAAGACATCACGTTTGGTAACGTGAAGGGTCAGTGAAAAACAGGAAGACCTCCAAGGAGATGGGTTGACACAATGGCTGTGACAGGCTTACACAGAGGGATAATTGTGAGGATTGTGTGAGGCTGGGCAGTGTTTCATTTTGTTGTACATATAGGTGACGGCTCTGAACCAGAACCAACTCTATGGCACCTAACAACAACAGTAAAGAAACACAAACTGAACACCTGACACGTCACTGCTGTCCAGATCCAACAGTCCTTGATGAAAACATGCCTTCTTTCCTCATCAGAGCCTGGGGCAGAGGTCCCCACGGCACCTTCAGGTGCTAAGGCAGGCAGCGGCGTCGGGAGGAAGGGGAAGAGCTCGGTGGTGGTGTGAGGTGGTGTTTACACAGAACTGCGGTGGGTGTCAGGCTGGACAAAACATTGTTCCTCATGCTTACCCGCCTTCATTGTCATTTGAACCCTCTACTCTTTAGTTGTATCAACATCTGTTTATTCGTTAAATAAATACTGATATTCAGGAAAACTAAAAATGAATAGGCATTTGAATGATGTGTACCAGTTTGTTTATGTGATTAGTTTATCATTACATCTTTCGAAACCCTCTTCAATTTCTGAGGCAGGTGAGAATTCGCTCACGACTCCTAACCAACCATGTCTTTGCTGAGCATTTTTACAAGTTCACTTCCGGCTTGACTACATTTCTGCAAAAACATGCAAACTCTTACCGTGCAGTCGGTTCTGACTCATAGTGACCCTGTATAGGGTTTCTGAGGCCATAAATCTTTACGAGAGCCTCATCTGTCTCCCATGGAACCACTGGTAGTTTTGAACTGCTGACCTTGAGGTTGGCAACCCGACTTGTAACCTCTACGTTACCAGAGCTCCTCTACAGAGAGGGAAATTGAGACATAAAGCAAGTAAGCAAATTGCATATTGCTTCCAGAAAAAGAAAAAGTATCAATCCTGAGCACAAAGCAGGCATTTCGCCTCTCCCCCTACACCCCCCCCCCACACACACACACACACACACACACACACACACACACACACAGTCACGCCTGCCTTCTACGGCCTCAGGGCAGTTGTTGAGTCAGCTCTAACTCATGGGAGCCCAGCGTGTGCCACAGTAAAATTGTGCTCCACAGGGCTTTCAATGGCTGGTTTTTGAGATGCAGGTTAGATTGCCAGACCTTTCTTCTGAGGGACCTTTAAAGGGACTCAAACCTCCAGCCTTCCCTGTTGTTGTTGTTAAGTGCCGTCAAGTCAGTTCTGATTCACAGCCACCCTGTTTAGGGTTTCCAAGAAATGAGGCTGTCTGCTCCCACAAAGATTTGCAGCCTTGAAAACACTAAACTGGGTCACTGAGAGTCAAAATGGACTTGATGGCTGTGGTCTTTCGTTTTGTTCTACTTCCGTCTTATGACAGCAATGCAATAAAAGGTGGCCATTAGAAACGGTAAAGAAAATACCCCAACGTTCCATTGAAACTTAACTCATAACCTGTCTCAGGAACAAAAACTTCGTGATGTAGCTGTGTGCAAAGTAATTAGATAAGTCATAGTCATACAGCTACACAAACTTAATATAATCAATCCATCCAAACCACGGCTGGCCAGCTAACTGCGCCTCTTGGAACATCTTCTACCAGCCTGTCCTGTAGAGAAACTCATCACAGCTCTCATGTGAACACCTATGTCCACAGAGCTGCTCCCAACTTTTGAAGTTTCTCTTCACCCAAGAAAAACTTTGAGCTCTAATTCACTTACTGATCAGCCTTTTTCTTTCTACAGAAAACATGGTACAGCTCAGTTGTGGTTTTTTGTAATACATAAAATATTAAGTGAGAAAAAAACAATGGCATCATGCGCGTGAGTGTTAATTAAGAAATTTTTAAATTAGGAAACATTCTTCTTTGGAGAATTCACACTTCTTGCCTGTTTTTCAGTGACTCTCTTCACTTTAGCCATGATCATTGTTTTTAAGTTCAAGCGTGTCAAGTGTACGATTTGATCTTGAAATATTTTTCAATTTTATTTTCCCCAATAATCATACTAGTGATGCTGTGTGTATCTATGTATGTATGTATGTTTGCTCTTCAGACATCTTTAATGCATGTGTGTATGAGTGTGGTCAAAGCTATTCCTTACTCTCTTTCTCTCTGAAGTCCAGGTTTGTTATGCTTCCTCAAACACATTGTGTAATGATATCCTTACAGTTTTCCGGTGGCATTAGGCTTTCCTTAAGGAGTCCTGGTGGCACAGTGGGTTGGGCACTGGGCTCCTAACAGCATTGTCAGCAGTTCAAAGCAACCAGTGGATCCTCAGGAGAAAGATGAGGCTGTGTACTCTCATAAAGATTTACAGTCTTGGCTGTCACAATTAAAGGTAGAAGTTTTGTAACAAAAACAGGGGAGTGATTAATCTTACAGTCCAGAAACAGAGGACCCTAGGACCATCAAGGGAGAAGAGCACAAGCGGAATGCGGGACCGTCTCCAGAGAAGCAGTGACACCAGAAATGGAGGCTGAGATGAGGACATGGAGAGAGGGAGCAGCTGAGGACTCTAGATTCATGGAAAGAGAGGGACTGAGAGCTGGCAGCCAGGAGGCAGACTTGCAGAATCAGCCCTTTGGTGATGTAAATTATTATATATGCCTAAGTGTTAAAAAAAAAAAAATACTGTTAACGGATGGTTCACGGAGGGGATTATAATCATTGTAATGAAAGAAAGTATACGATTTGTTGAATGTAAAATTGATCAGCCCTGTAAACTTTCACTCGGAGTCCTGGTGTAGCGCTGTGGGCTAATGCGTTAGACTGCAAAGTTGTTTGAACTGCAAGTTTGGTGGTTCAAGCTCACCAGCTGCTCCTTGGAAACCCTATACTGAATCACTATGTGTCGGAATCAACTCGATGGCACTCAACAACAACAACAAGATACTACAATACTGAAAACTTTGCTACTGGTATTTCAGATAGCAGTAGGGTCCCCCATGGTAGACAAGTTTCAGCAAAGCTTCCAGACTAACAAAGGCTTACTGATGTACAAACATCAGCCAAGGTTCACAGCAGACTATTGTGTGGGCTACAATGCTGGAAGATGAGTCCCTTCACTGTAAAAGCGCTCGAAATACACAGTGAGCACAAGGGTGAACTTGAGCCAACCAGGGTTGGTGAAGATGGCGCGGGACCAGGGGACATTTCATTCTGCTGTTTCTGGGTTGTCAGGATTCAGACAGCACCACCACTGCGATATGTGTAGACATCTGAATGCATTCTTTTTTCAACAATAGAACTGGCGGTAATTTATGACATCAATCTGTTTGCTCAGCTGTGAGCTTGCATGAAAGAGCTAACAGGATTATTTTCCTTTCACTTCCAGATTTTATAGGAAGACGAAGCTGGTTGGTTTCCAGGATTTGGAGTGTGTACCTTGTGGGGACCCCCCTCCTCCTTACGAGCCGCACTGTGAGTGAACTTTACCCAAATGGCAGATGGAACTCTTGCCGCTTCCCCCTCTTTCTGTTGAATCTGTCTCCACCTTGGTGATGCAAAGTGCACACGCCTTGATCAAGCTTTCTCGCAGGGGGCAAAGCCCTTTTATGGTGGGCTTCAGTCAGCAAAATGCCCATTGGTTGGAATCACAGCGAATTGCAGACATTTCTCAGGGCTCCATTCCAATTCTTACCTTTTACCCTAGATGTGCGAGGGGATTTTAAAAAGTTCGTGGGAAATAGAATGAAAAGATGATGGAATTTTCCACACAATTTGGGAAGCTCCCTTGTATCGCTCAGACAACTCCCCCTCTTCCTGTCTTTGGGCCATGGCCCCGCCAAACAGTTCTACTCTGTCTTCTAGTTCTGTCACCATGAAGATTGTTGTTGTTAAAAGCCGTCAAGTTGGTTGCGACTCATAGCTACCCTGTATAGGGTTTCTGTGGAGCGGCTGGTGAGTTTGAACCACCGACCTGGAGATTCAGATCAATCTTGCAGTCCAGCGCATTAACCCACAGCACCACACCAGGACTCCTCGGAAACCCGCTGGTACAGTTCTACTCTGTCCTGTAATTTTGCTATGAGTGGGAATCAGCTCGATTGCAACAAGTCGCTTGTTTGATTATGTGTTAGTCACAATACAGGTGCTTGACCTGTTTTGTTTTACCTCATTTTCTCGATAGTTCTATTGTTCATCCTGATTTGTCCATGAGAAGTCTAGGTTCAGGAATGTTCCTGTTGCTGATAAATGACAGAGACCACGTTTAGACGCAAGTCTGTCTAACTCCCGGGTATATGCTCTCCCCTGGTAGCGTAGGGTTACGAGTCGGGCTGCCAACTTCAAGGTCAGCAGTTGAAAACTCCCAACTGTTCCGCTGGAGAAAGATGAGGCGTTCTGCTCCCGTAAAGATTTACAGCCTTGGAAACCCTGTGCAGGGTCGCTGTGAGTCAGAACCGACTCCCCGGTACTTAACAACAACCAGACTCTACTATATCTTTGAGTCCTAGTGTGGGCCTGTATGATAAGTTTGGCAGTTCAAACCTACCAGTCGCTCCTCGGAAACCCTACATAGGATCGCTGAGTTGGAACTGACTCTAAGCATTTAACAGCAGCAGCTACTGGATCCTAAGAAAAATCAAACTGTGTTATCTGCTCTCCATTGGCTAATACCATAGACTACATGTCAGCTTTCTTGGTGTAGTTTAAGATTTGTCATATAAAGAGGACTAGAAATCCTGGTGTGATGCACTGTAAGGTAAGCACTGCTAACCACAAGGTCAGGTGGTTCAAATCCACCAGCTGGTCTTTAGAAAGCCAATACAGGGTCACTATGAACCTTAGCTGACTCTACAGCACTTAACAACAACAATTAAACAGGGAGCCTTGATGGAGTAAGAACTCAACTTCTAACAGAAAGGTCAGAGGTTCAAATCCCCCAGCTGTCCATAGGAGAAAAGATTGGTGATCTGCTCCCATGAAAATGACAGCCTGGGAACCCTATGGGGCAGCGCTCCTCTATCCTATAGGGTCAGAATCGGATCCCAGGGCATCTAATAACAACATTGTCCTGACCCTAAGTCAGCCCCACTATCATTCTATGCAGAATACAGTTTACAACCATGAACTTCATCCCAAGTGACCATCAAAAGGTGGACTCAGAAACCGATATTGCTCAGTTAAAAACTGGAAAGCGTTTACTTGATTTAGTTTACTGGATTTAAATTAATATGATCGATCTAGTCCAAAATCTGAGGCATTTAGGGATGTTTGCCTTTAGGGTTCTCAGATTAAAAAACAACCATCCAAACTCAGTACTGCCTAGTTGAGCCTGACTCCTAACGACCCCGTAGGACAGTGTAGAATTGCCCCATAGGGTTTCCCCGAGACTGTAAATCTTTCTCCCTCAGAGAGACTGGTGGGTTCAAACCAATGACCTTTCAGTAGGCAGTCGCAAGCATTAATCACTGCGCCACTAGGACCCCATGACTAAGGTTGGTGTTGAGTGCCCTCAAGTTGGTTCTGACTCATAGTAACCCTGTATAGGGTTTCCAAGGAGCAGCTGGTGGGTTGGAACCGTCAACCTTTCTGTTAGCAGCCCAGTGCTTTATCCTACAGCACCACGCCAGGACTCCATGTGGCTAAGATGATTGTTAAGTCCTGTCTCATAGTAACCTTGTATAGACTTTCTGAGGAGTGTTTGGTGAGCTTGAATTGCCGACAGTGAGGTTCTAACTGACCTTGTAATCCGGTGCATTAACCAACAGGGCCACACCAGGACTGGACAACATTAAAATTAGCCTTTAAGCAAAGATTTCACATCGAATTTTCAGTATTTAGGGAAGCGTGGTGGCTTCATATGATAATGCACTAGACTGCGAACCCCAAGGTCTGAGAACTGAACCCACCAGCCACTCTTGCAGAAAAGATGAGGCTTTCTGGTCCTTTGAGGATTTAAAAAGCCTTGGAATCTCTATGCAGGGTCATCATGAGTTGGAACTGACTCCACCGGCTCGTAACCACAGCAACAACATGCTGTGCTTAGGAAGTTATGATTTTGAATTGAAAGTTAACTAGTTTAATATATGTAGACACTTGTACTGTGTCCTCATAGATGAAACTTTAGAAAGCAAAGAAAAATGAATTCATTGCCAATGTCAGAAATGCCGCCAACACAGTTAATGACCGTTCGGGTCATGAAGCAAGACAATCCGGGGTCTTTCATGAGCAGTAATCCTTATCTCTGCAAAGACAAGTCTTTGCCTTTGGCACAGTTCTTGGGAATAATTCCAGAACAAAACTAATCTCTTAAAAACTAAGATCTTGAAGTCTTGAGAGGACATTTTGTAAGGCGCCTAATGTTTTCATTTTGTCTTATTTTGGGCTTTTTATTTTTAATTCCTCCACAAAGAACTATTGCTTCAGTGTTTTTTTTTTTTAACCCCACTGAGGAGCTCTTGTATGATTTAGACTGTTAGTTTTGACAGTGGTACCACATATCTGCCTTAAGTTGTTGTTATTAAGTGCCGTCGAGTCGGTTCCAACTCATTGTTACCCTATATAGTGTTTCCGAGGAGCGGCTGCGGGGGGGGGGGGGGGGGGGGGGTTGAACTGCTGACCTTGTGGTTAGCAGTCCAGTGTTTATTCTACAGCGCCACACTGTAACTAATAGATAGACTTTCTTACTACTGTTGTTAAGTGTCATGGAGTCAGTTCTGACTCATAGAGACCCTATATAGGGTTTCCAGGACTTTTAGGAAAAATCCTGGCGTGGCGCTGTGAGTTAATGTACTGGATTGCAAAGTCAGTTCGAACTGCAAGGTCAGAGGTTCAGGCTCACCAGCCGCTCCTCAGAAACCCTATACAAGGTCACTCTGGGTTGGAACCGACTCGACAGCACTTACTAACAACATAGGATTTCTAAGGAGTAACTTGTGGGTTTGGGCCAGCAAACGACCTTGCCGTTAGTAGTCCAGTGCGGACCCTACAGCACCACACCAGGAGTTTATTTCAAGGATGCGATCAGCTGTGAGAGAGGCCGAACAACCTGAAAGTCCAAGTATCCTTTCCTCAGAATCCAGTGCAGCTCGGGAATCGGGGGCCATGGCTCCTCTTGTAGCAGGAGGCCCCGAACCGCCCCGAACCCCACCTAGCACTCAGCCCTCAGTGTGACACAGCTGCTTCCTTAGTCTGTGGGGCTCTTTTTAGATCTTCTAGTTCATGATTCTGTAGGATAAGCCCAGGCTGCTGACCAGAAGGTTAGCAGTTCAAACCCATCAACCACTTCCTGACTGGACTGCTAACTGCAAGGTTGGCAGTTCAAACCCACCAGCTGCTCCAAGGGAGGAAGATGAAGCTCTCTGCTCCAGTAAAGATTTCCAACCTGGGAAACCCAATGTAGGGTCACTGTGAGTAGGAATCTGCTTGATGACAGTGAGAGGAGGGAGGAGATCCTGCCCACAGATCCATTTCATGGTGCAAATGCTCTGTGTTAACTAGTTGAGCTGCTAACAGAAAGGTTGGAGGAGCCTCAGAAAAAATGCCTGAGGATCCATTTCTGCAAAACAAGCCTCTGGAGCACAGTTCTACTCTGACGCACAGTTCTACTCTCCCAGCAGAGGCCCAGAGAGCTGGGTGGGAACCCAGTAGTGCCCAGTGGCCTGCTCTTTGCAGCATCTGTAGATGACATTAACAAGAACTGTCTTCATTAGTGATGGGAGTGGAAGCCGGACAGCGAGTCAGGAAGAGGACTACAGATGAGGCAGTCATGGCTGGCTCTGTGCAGATGTTTGCCTATGATGAAGTTAAATAGGGTGACAGCTGGAAAGATAAGCACTGGACTTCTCACCACAAGGTGGGTGGTTCAAGTCCACCAGCCACTCCGTGGAGACACTACACAGGGTGGCTAACAGTGATTTTAAAGACCCCAACCCCCCACAGAGAGATTGAGCTATAGGGTTCCAGGGTGCATCCCAATGCTGTTCCTCCTCCTGGCCTCGTTCACCTGCCCAGCCTCCTTGCCCACTCCCTGTCCCAGCTCCACTGCTCCTGCAGGCACCAGAGGCCACATCTGATCCAAAAACTGCCGTCCCTACAGGACAGCGGCCGCCGGTCATGCTCCTGGAATCCTCATACTCCGTTCCCAAGGCTACGTCTCCATCTCCCTGTGCACTGCCCCCCAGTACCCTGCACCCACACATGTGCAAGGTCTGGATCCTGCCCCCTGGCAAGGTGGCCTCCTGTGTCCTAGTAGATACAGCTCCCTCGACTAACTCCCATAAGGTTTTAACATAAGAGGTTGTTGTTGTTGTTGTTAAGTGCCGTCGAGTCAGTTCTGACTCATAGCCACCCTATATAGGGTTTCTGAGGAGAGGCTGGTGGGTTTGAACCTCCAGCCTTGCAGTTAGCAATCCACTGCTTACCCCACACTCAAGTGACATACAACTAGTAAGTCCTTTACAGCTGACATTTATAAT